TCTATCTATCTATCTATCTATCTATCTATCTATCTATCTATCTATCTATATCTATATATATATATACGTACATATGATTTTTTCCCCATCCAACTACCCTAATACTGACAAAGGTCTAATGAGTTACAAATATCGTCTTTCCATGCAGGAATGTAAACAGTTCAACCATAATAAGTCTCTTATGATTTTCTCTTTCCTGTTTGCCTCTTCATGTTCCACTTGAGTCTTGTATTTGAAAATCAAATTTTCTATTCAATTCTGGTCTTTTCATCAAGAATGCTTGAAAGTCCTCTGTTTCACTGAATGACCATTTTTTCCCCTGAAGGAGTTTTGCTGGGTAGGTGATTCTTGGTTGTAATCCTATCTCCTTTGCCCTCTGAAATATTATATTCCATGCCCTGCGGTCCCTTAATGTAGAAGCAGCTAAATCTTGTGTTATCCTGATTGTGTTTCCACAATACTTGAATTGTTTCTTTCTGGCTGCTTGTAATATTTTCCCCTTGACCTGGGAACTCTGGAATTTGGCTACAATATTCCTAGGAGTTTTCCTTTGGGGATCTCTTTCAGATGGGGATCGGTGGATTCTTTCAATTTCTATTTTGCCCTCTGGTTCTAAAATAGCAGGGCAGTTTTCCTCAAGTGGCTGATCGGAGGGGGATTGCAGGGATCTCTTTGCCAGTGCTGAGATGGGAATCTCTTGCTTTACTGGTGCTTGGATCTGGGTCACAGTTCTGAGGGGTGGTCCTGGGGCAAGGAGGAACGCTGGCGTGGTGGAGCTTGTTGTGGCAGTGGAGAGGAAACACCTTGCCCCTTATCATACCACCTTGGGAAAACTGAAAATTTTCAGCCACTCAATTCCCCCTCAGTCTGTGGGCCAGAAGCTCAGGAAACAGCCGCGGCCCTGGGCTGCGCTTGAGACTTGCGACTGAGACTTAGCTCCTTCTGTCACCGCAGTCACAGACTTTTCCCACTGACCTTCTAAGTTGTCTTTGGCGTTTGTGGGTTGAGAAGTCTGGAAACCGCCACAGCTGCCCACGATTCAGTCCTCTGAGGCACGCTCCAGGGTCGCTGTGACCTGTGCACCCACCCTGAACTGCGCTTCTCTCCTCGCCTGGTGCGATATACCTTTCTGATCAACCATCCAGGCTGTCTTTGGCTGGAAATTTGTTTCACTCTGTCTTTTTGTGGGTTCTGCTGCTTTAGAATTTGTTTAGAGCCATTTTTATAGGTATTTGGAAGGGTTTGGGGGGAGAGCTCAAACAAGTCACTACTTTCCCTCCACCATGTTGCCTTCACCCTCCCATTTTGTTTGATTCTTGATGGAGTCTCATGGATTCATTAGCTTCCACTTACCCAATTCTAATTTTTAAGGAATTATTTTCTTCAGCTAGTTTTTCTACCTCCTTTTCCATTTTGCCAGTTCTGCTTTTTAAGGAATTGCTTTCTTTAATGAGTTTTCATACATCCTTTTCCATTTTTTGTGCTTCTTTTACCAAACTATTGACTCATTTTTCATGATTCTCTTGCATAACTCTCATTTCTGCCTATGCTGGGCTGTGCTCCCCTATTAACTGAGTAAGACAGACCTGTCCTAAATTCCTTCTAAGTCATCTTGTGCTGGAAAATTGTTTGACCCCATTCTTTGTTCATTTTGAGGTGTTAATTAAAGTTGTTTGCAGGGAATTTGGGAGAGCACAGGCAAGTCCCTGTCTTTTTTCTAACATCTTGGCTCCACCAAATAATGCCAGTGGCATTAATAGAAATGAGGAACTGGCTCCCCAGAGAACTGGCTCCCCAAACACATTTTTGAATATGTGTTTGAAGTGCTGTTGAGATATCTATTTAGAAACATCTATGTGGCAATGCAGATTTGAAGTTATATTTGAATTTGAGGGATAGGACTAGAAGTTTGAATTTGGGAATTAGTATAGAAGGTGATATTTGAAACTAGGATAATGAGTAAATGGCTGAAGAATTTTGAGAAAGAACAGAGAGCTAAGGACAGACTTGAGAGAAACTCTTCAGGAGGGTTGAGAAGACAAAGAGTAACAAGAGAAACAGCAGTCAGAAAAGTTCCTTAGCAAGATAGTAATGTCACAGAAGCCAGAGGATGTCAGTTTCAAGAAGCATGTGACAAATTATTCCACATGTTATAGAAATATCACAGACAACTGAACTATATTTTCTTTTCTCAGCAGTGGCTAAAGTGAACAAGAGATGGCCAGTAATCACAAACCCCCTTCTGCTCGCCCTATTTCACGTGGAGGAATTGGATTGACAGGAAGACCTCCTTCAGGAATACGGCCTCCATCAGCTAGTATTCGAGTGGCAACTGGAGTAAGCTTCAGTTTCCTTATCTGTAAAATGGAAATAATAATGTCATCTGTCTCACAGGGGTATTATAAAAATCAAAGGAAAGTGCTTTGTAAATCTTAAAGCACTATAACATTGTTAACTATCATCACCGTTATTATTTTTCCTGTTACAGGTTTGGACTTATTAAAATGGAGAAGTTTTTTATGTGATATCTCCAAGTTTTGTTTCATTCTGAAGACATTCTGTTAGATGTTTGTAAAAAAAAAAACAACAGATAAAGAATTTTACTATTACATGTCAGATGGAATTTCTTTTAGGTGTTTAAGTATTCCAAGTAAAAAATTTGCGATGACTTTATAAATACCCATGTTATTAGGTAGGCAAAAAAATAATGGGAGAAGAAAACTCACAGCCTTCCTTGATCTGACACTCCTTCCACTGCCACCCCCTCTATCAGTTTGGGCATTTGGGGAAGGAAGGATAAATGTAAATTGAGGGAAATGGCGGAGGGTAAGTGAGCAGGATAGAGAGATGTTCAGGCATAATTTCCACACACTCAGAAGTGGAGGAGGGAATTAAAGCTGACTCTCCTCCACCCCTTGTACTCCCCCCCCAAAAAAAACCACAACTTCCCTGAAATGTCACTATCATTTAAATACTACTTAATGTACATGTATATAGTTGAAGCAGTAGAAAGTAAGATTTCTTCTTCTTTTTTTCTCTAGTGTATATTATCCTACTCTTCAGAATTGGAAGATGAAATCAGGCATGATAATATTGATGTATATTAAGTAAAACTGATCATGTACTTGCTTTTGTAGCACCCCCAATTTGCACTTTGAGTTCTCAGGGGTGAGTGCTATTCACAGGTTCTAGGGGATAACCTTGTGGCTTTACTACTGTAGCTCTGGAGCTTCTGATTGTACCCTTGCAATTAACAATCAGGCAATAGACTCAGTGAGCTATTATCAAAAGCATTAACCTGAATTGAAAAGCAAGAACAGTTAAGTGCAAGGCATTTGCCTTTATAACCTGAGGCACTTTCCTTAATACATAATATGTCTAAGAGGACTACAGTGGTATTGAGGCACACGCACACATGCAGATTACACGTATGGCCAACACAACACACAATTCTAGATGGTGTCTCTTCACTCTCCAATGCCTGTATGTGGTTCACTACTTGGAAAGATGTCTCTTCCATATGAGTAGCTCAGTTTTCTTGATGTGCATCTGTAGTCTTCACCACCTCCAACTTTATTCTTTTAGCTGCAAAACTCAGGTTGGTACAGTTATGTTCTGAGGCTTTCCATCTTCCAGGCAAGGAGATGGGAAAATAGAGATTTAACCTTCACCTCAGGTAACTCTGGTTCAAAGCCAGGTCCCTTTGTTAAGAGCTCTCACCCTAACTTATGATGACAGTGCAGTATGTTTCCCTAACCTCCATCTCTTTTCACTCAAGTCATAACTAAATAATAGCCATTTGACCAGCAATCACTAAACAACTCTAAGGATCTGGGTTCCCCAGTTGGTTGTTTTAACTTTAAGGTTATATTGCTATTTGAAAATGAATGACAATCAATAGTAGGAGTAAAGAAATAATTTCTGCCTTTGGAGCAAGTTCACTGTCAGCTGGATTTTTATATGCAAATGAACTACTTTACAAGTTATAGAATGATTCAGTCAAAATTGAAAGGGTTTTACCCTTATATTATATTGTCTCTGTGTTTGCCCCTTACCTACAAATTTGCAGAAATCTAAAAGGGGCACACCTTCACATTCATATAACAAAGTTATGACAGACTATTATGGCATGCACACCATTGAATCACCTGAATTTTTAAAAAAATTTCCTTTTGATTTCATGCATCAGTGGAAGTGTATTACATTATTAAAGAAAATTCTTTGTTTTTTTAGATGCCACCTGGTACATCAAGACCTGCCTCTCGAAGTGGTACCATGGGGCCTGGAGGAGTATTGGCTTCTCAAATAAAAGTTGCAGATCGTCCAGTAACACAGCAAGGTTTAAGTGGAATGAAAACTGGAATGAAAGGTATCTTTTAGAATGAGTAGACAAGATATTTCAATGCCACATTAATAAATCAGAATGACATTGTGAGGAAGAAAGGAAGACTTATGCATCTTGTCTATAGCAACACCCCTTTCTCTTTTCACTCCTATGTTTCATTCAATGAGACCTGGCTTCCTCTTAATGGCACAGTTTTCCTAGCTCTCCTTTACAGCACTTTATATTTTCACTCATATTCAACTGGTTACAACACTCTTTGTTCCCCATTGCCACATCTAGGTTTTTCCTTTGCTAACATCACTCAATAATCTCTTTGAGCTTCATTCAATCCATACCTATTACCCAATCAAGATCTTGGTAGCTGTTGTCAACCTGCTTTTAGGACACAGTTTTTCCTTCCTCACTGAGTTCGGTGCCTGTCTCACAGTCTCCTCCCCAGTTCCTGCCCCCTAACTAGAGGACTTTAACACAGATACTGTTACTCCCTCAAACAATTTAAACTCCTGGTTCTTCAACTTACTCATTTCCCCTTTCCTCCACCCAATTTCAGCTACTCACAAAGATGGTCATACTATTGATCTTGCCATTACCCCCAAATGTTCTACTTCTATATTTATGAACTCTAAAATTCCTTTATCTGATTTATAATATGTTGTCGTTCCACTTCTCCGTTTGCCTTTCAACTCCTACCCCTGTTCTTCATCCTCACCACAACCTCCAATCGTAGCACTCAGTTCTATCGTAGGCCATGACTCCTGTACAGGCTACAGTCTTCCTCCCTTCATCTTGATCCCTTAGCAAACCATTTCACCTCTACATTGTCCTACTCTCTACATTCCCTTGCTTCCTTATCTGTTACCATTCTTGCTCTGCCATGCCTCAACTTTGGATTCTCCCACCATTTGCTACCTCTTATTTCACATAGTGTTAAATCAAGTATGAAAAAAAAAATTATGAAACAGTGATGACTGGGTTCACTATCAATTTCTGTTACGTAATCTCAACTGGGCCTTCACTGCAACAAGGCAATCCTTTCTATCTCCCTAATTGATTCACTACTTCACTCATCACAGTTACTTTTCCAAAATTTTCCATCCCTCCTCAAACTCTTCCAACCCCCACTCTCTCGCCTGAGAATTTTACTTCTTATTTTCCTGAAAAATTGAGGCTATTTGCTGAAAAGTCTCTCTTATCTCCTTCTTCTCAGGTCACATCACTCAGAAACTTTTTGCTACTATTTCTTTCTTTACTGCTGTCTGCTATGCAGGGTGACCCTTCTCCTTCCCATATTCAACCCCTCCACTTGCACAAGTGGTCTCATGCCATCCTGTCATCTTCAGCAGATTACCCCCTATGTCATCCCCATTTTTTTTACTTATATCTCTCTTTTTCTACTGACTGCTTTCCTACTGTTTGCAAATAAAACCATGTCTCCTCCTCTTCAAAAAAAAAAAACCTCACTTGTTTTATCTATCCCCACCAGTTATCACCCTATATTTCTCCTGCCTTTTGTGGCTAAATTCCTTGAGAAAGTCACATACAGTTGATTGCTCTATTTTTTTTCCTCTCATTCTTCCTCTTCTCATCTCTTGTACTGTTTCATTTGGTGATATCATCAGCTTCCATGCTTTCAATTAGCATCTCTCTTCTATTGATTCTCAGATCTATTTATTTTTTTTTGAGGCAATTGGGGTTAAGTGACTTGCCCAGGGTCACACACAGCTAGCGAGTATCATGTGTCTGAGGCTGGATTTGAACTCGAGTCCTCCTGACTCCAGGGCCAGTGCTCTATCCACTGTGCCATCTCACTGCCCCGATTCTCAGATTTATTTATCTAAATAAACTCAAATTCTCTCTTGATTTATAGCGTTCCATCTCCAGCTGCCTTTTGGATGTTTCATACTGGACATCTTAAACTCAACATGTCAAAAATTGAACTCATTATCTTTTCCCCAAAATCTTCCCTACTTCCTAACTCCCATGTTGCTGTCAAAGGCACCACCATCCCCCCAGTCACCCAGGCTCACAACCTAGTTGTCATCTTCAACTTCTCACTCTTCTTACCCTCTATTTCCAATCTGTTCCAAATTCTGTTGATTCTACTTTTGTAATATCTCTTGTTTAAACCCTTTTCTCTCCTCTGACACTGCAACCACCCTAGTGTAGGTCCTCATTCCCTCATGTTTGTATTACTACAGTAGTCTTCTGATTCATCTCTTTGCCTCAAATCTTTCCTCACTCCAGTCCATATCTCCACTCCGCTGTCAGAACTCTCTCCCTAAAGCTTAGGTTTGGCCATGTCCACCCTTATTGAGTAAACCCCAGTGTCTTTCTATTACTACTACTCCAGAGTCAAATGTAAAATCCCCTGTTTGAATTTAAAGCCTTTCTATGAAAGGTCCCTTTCTACCTTTCCAGTCTTCTTACCCCTTGCTTTTTTCCAGGTACTTTGCAATTCAGTGACATTGGCCTCCTGGCTGCTTCTTGTACAAGAAATTCTATCTCCCCATTCTGTACATTTTTACTGTCTTGTCTTTATGCTGTTAATTACTTTATTCATTACTTCTTCCTCTTAGCTTCCCTGATTTCTTTCAAGTCTTATTTGATCTTCTGCTAGAAGCCTTTCCTAGCCCTACTTAATACTAATTCCTTCCCTCTGATATTATCTCCAATTTATCTTGTATACTTAGTGTTTGTACCTACCAGTTGGCATGTTGTCATTCATTAGACTGTGAGCTACTTGAAGGGAAATATATTTTTTTTTCTTTGTATTCCCAGTGCTTAGTACAATGCCTGTCACTGTGCTTAGTAAATACTTGTTGACTTGACATGATTGATAGAAGAAACAGAATGGCACAGTGGATAAAACTCTAGATCTGGAGTCAGAAAGACCTGAGTTCAACTTTAGCCTCAGATACTTATTAGCTTTATGACCCTGTGCAAGTCACTTAAGATCTCTATGCTTCAGTTTCTTCAACTGTAAAATGGAGATAATAACACCTGCCCCCCAAGGTTGTTATGAGGACAAATGAGATAATATTTGTAAAATGCTTAGAACAGTGTGTCTGGCACACCTCCTTCCCCTTTCTTCTTCCCTTTCTTTCTTCCTTTTGATCAGAGAACAGTAACATGATCAGTCAGTCAACAAGTATGTATTAAGCACTTACTATATGCTTAGACAGTTCTCGTCTTCAAGAAGTTTGCATTCTAATGGGGGAAGACAGTATGTAGAAGGGACACTGAAAGGGAGAAGGGAAGAGGGAGGTGCCTCTGTGGGGGCAGTGGCTAAGTTGAGAGAATGAAGGATGGCTGGTTTGGACCTTTCCCCAAAGTGGAGGTTCTAGGATAAACTCACCAATGGGAGAAGAGGCAATAAGTAATTACTGGTCTGTGTCCTTCCCCAAATGGAGGTTCCAGGAAGAACTCAGTAATGGGAGAAGCAGACATATGCATTAGGAATATCAACTTAGCAGCTGTATTGAAGGACAGAGTAGAGTATGGAGAAATTAGAATAAGAGAAACCAATTAAGAGGCTATTGCAATAGTTCATTTAAGAAATGATAAAGGCCTGAACTGGGGCATTACTGTTTAAGTGGAGAGGAGATGAATGCAAGAGGTGTTTTGGATAGATCAATGGATCAATCGATCTCTATACTGCAAGTCTTGGAAACCATTTTGATATTGGGAGTGGAGAGCAGAAGCCAAGGTGAGTAAGAATGACAAATTAGGTATGACTCCTTGGTTTTCAACCTAGGTGATAGGAAGAACGAAGATTCTGCCTTTGAAAGAAATAAGGAAGTAAGAAGGAAGGGTAGATTTCTGGGAAAAGACAGTCCCTGTTTTGGACATGTTGAATTTAAGATATCTATGGAATATCCAGGTAGAAATGTTCAGAAAGCAATTTGAGATGCAGGAATGGAGCTCAGGAAAGAGATTCGGGCTATGTATATATATTTGGATAGAGGAGATATTTGAATTCATGAGAATAATGAGACAACCAAAAAAGAGTATAGAGAAATAAGTGAGGGACCAGAGAGAAGAGAAAATGTAAGGTATATCTCTTGAGTAAACTATCTTGATTTTAACTGTGTCTTTAAACATTGTTTTACGATGGGTAGAAAAAGATAAATAATGCCGTTTTGAAAGTTCCCAATTTTTGTGTGTGTTAAATTTCTAAAACTGCCCTCATCTTATACCAAGAATTGTTTCTAAGATGCACATATGGTAAAATAAGAAAACGAGGTCATTTTCCATAGTCTAATAATAATATGCTTTGGTCCACCTCCCATTGTTCCATATTTCTGCAAAGAAGGGAGATAGCTGTGCAAAGCTTGATTGTTTTAATTAGATATGCTTTGGTTTAAATTTTGGTCATTCTTTCCATTTACTTGTGGTGATCATCACATACATTGTTTTCCTTGCATCAGTTCATATACATACATATATATATGTATATATAATATATAGATATATTCCCATGCCTCCTTCATATTCATCATTTTTAAATGGCAGTTATATACCATTATATACATGTGCTACAGCTTTTTAGGCCATTACCTCATGGATGGATATTGACTTTGTTTCCAGTTTTTTGGTAGTACAAAAAGGGCGGCTATAAATATTTTGGAATGGAGTAATAGATTTAGATTTGGTCTATAAATTTAGATTCCTTCCTATGACATCAGAGATAGGAAACCCATCAGATTTCACCCCTGCCCCCAATATAAAACTCATCCATGATCCTTGTTTGCATAATTGAATGCCCTGGCAATAACCCTTCCGTGGAATTGATATATAGGTATCCACAAGCTGCTAAGATTGTATCTTTCCCTTTAGGTTCTTTATTCCTGTCTTCCTACTGTCTGGGGTCTCCTTGAGTCTAGCCCTAGTGTGAATTAATATGCATTGTAGTAAAAGCCCAGTGCTGTAATTATTTGCTAACCTGACTGATTTCTTTGTGAAACCTCCTTTAAGTATCCAAACTGCAGACTAGCTTTTATTTTTAGATTTTTACCATGCCATAATATATAATGACATATAACTAAATGTTTGTTGTTGTCCTGTAATATAAAATGCTGTAGGCAGGGTGGTATCCTGGAAAAAGCACTAGATTTGGAATGAGAAAGCAAATGGTTTTGAATCCTGTCTTGACCGCTTACTTTTTGACCTTTGGTCATATACCCTCTCTGAGTCTGATAACACTTCATCATTTGTAAATTCAAGACCATGATAGCTGTAGAACTTATTTCACAATGCTATTGAGATGACCAAAATAATATTATATATGTAAAACTATTTACAAATCCTAAAGTGCTATATAAATGTCAGCTGTTATTATTATCATTTAAATGGCAAGTGATACATTAATTACCATTGAGATAAAAAAGGAAAATTTATTTTAATATTGAATTGCTCATTTCCTTCAAAAATTAGTTTTCTTGGTTTTTATTTCATTCTTTCCTTTTGTTGACTTGAGAAGTAATGTATGAAGACAATCTTTGGAAAACTAGAGTATGATTTTTATATCTACTTTGGATTTGTTTCTTAAGTGACATTTTAAAACTTGGCTTTCAAACAAAATGCTAACATTCTTTTTATTTTTGTTGTTAGGTCCCCAGAGGCAGATTTTGGATAAATCTTATTATCTTGGGCTACTTAGGTTTGTTTGCTAAATAATTTTTAAAACTATAATATTGATATTATAAACTCTATTTTGATGTCAAATTATAGTTGCAGAAACTACTAATAAATTCAGCTTCTGTTTATTTCTGACTTATTTTGTCCTTGAATCATTCATTATTCCATTGAATATTCTACAAAATATATGGGATTGCAAAGCTAATAGAACATTCTTAACCGCATATAGTGTCCCAAAAGTCTTAGTGCAGCTTTAAGCTTATTGCACAAAGACTTTTTGACAATTTGTATTTATGTGTAGATTGTATATTTTAAGTCCACCTTCACCCCCACCTCCCCACCCCCCGATGGATGAAAATCATGCTTTAATAGGTATTTAACTAGGGCAAATGACTGGGGCTTTCCAAAATTTAGAGATAAATGACAGTACTTTCATTGAACTTAGAACCAAGTTAGCAAGAAATGGTTAAACTAGGAAATAGCCAGATAGTATACTTCTTCTCCTGCCCCTGCTGCATCCCAAGTAAGACCTTTCAAGGCCTGATTTACTCTGCCCTCCCTCATCTTTGGTGGTGACTTCATGATGTTCCAAGGTTTTTGTTTCCTTCCTAACCCTGCTGAATTGCCTCAGGAGCCAACATAGTTAGTGTCAAACTGTCATCACTTTAGGCTTTTCTAAAAGGGAAAAAAATCCTTAATTTTAGTAATGGGCAGCTAAGTAGGTAGCACAGTGGAGAGAGCACCAGGCGTGGAGTCAGGAAAAACTTAATTGAAATCTGACTGCAGACACTTACTAGCTGTGTAACACTGGCAAATCACTTAACCCTATTTGCTTCAGTTTCCTTATCTGTAAAATGAGCTGGAGAAGGAAATGGCAAATCACTCCAGTATCTTTGCCAAGAAAACCCCAAATGGGATCATGAAGAGTCAGACACAACTGAACAATAACAAATTTTAATAAAATGATCATTGCTGTGCTTTATAAATGCATATATTATAGGTCTCTTACGGCAAATGGCACAGTTTCAGTCAACCTATCAATCTATAAGTATTTACTGAGCATCTAGTGCATGTCTAGTGCTAATCATTTATTTCTTATTCTCCATCCTCCCTTTTTGCTATCTCACCTACTCCACAATGTAATCTCCACCTTTCTGATTTCTTTCTTTCTCCTCATGGCCCATTATCTGTATACTCTTTTTTCTATTACTTTTAATTCCCTTTGAATCCAGTCTTCCTTTAGTTCTTCTATTGCCACTTTCTCTCCATCTTACTGTCTTTGGATCCTGTGGGACTCAAGCACAGTAGCAAGATGAAGCATAACTAGCTTATAGATTATCCTAAAATCTAAGACTGGTAAAGGAGATAATGAAGTAGTACTGGCTACATTGAATACAGATGAGGGAAAATAACTGTCTTTTGTCCTTGACCTTTCCAGTGGCACCAGAAGGTAATAGCTATAACTAACAAGGACTTCATTTTGTGTCTTAGGGTGGCAGAAGTTGGGGATGTGGTCGGCATAAGCATATTTCACTACTAACTCTGCCTTTATATCTCTCCAGTTTGACCTAGACTAGACTGTGTTCAAATCTTGTTCCATTTCTATTAATAAATGAAGCCTCTATATCTAAAGAGCCATAGATACCATCATTAGACTATGATGGGCACCTGAGGTATATCACTGGATTCTTTGTTTTTGCTTTAGTCAAGATACAGTCACTTAAGAGTTTTCTTTTTATGTGGGGAGATATTACAAAAATAATTGTAAGATTATTAAAAAATATATTTAAAGAGTATTATTAAGTATAATTAATGACTTGAAATAGTTCTTTCATATTTGAAGTACCATTAAGGCTTTTCCATTTCTTTTCTGCAGAAGCAAAATAAGTGAACTTACCACTGAAATTAATAAGCTTCAAAAGGAAATAGAAATGTACAACCAAGAGAATTCAGTGTATTTGTCATATGAAAAGAGGTGAGTCATAAATATTACTTAGGAAAAAATGGTCAAGAGTTTGCCTTTTTCATAAGTAGAGCGTATGTGTTTATGATATACTACAAGAATCTGATCTTGATTTTTTACTATCATAAACTTTATTAATTAAATGGATATTTACTGAGTGCCTACTACGTACAGTTGCTTATTACTAAGCATTGAGAGAGAAGATACAGACCCTACCTAAGGAAGTGTCTTTCTAATTGATAGGATGTTGCACCTATTCTGGCCCTGTTACTGATGAGTTGTTTGACCTTGGCAACTCAGTTAATCTTGCTAGGCCTTGGCACACACACACACACGCATGCACACACACACACACACACACGTATATATGCATATACGTATGTATATCTGGGTGTACATATATATATATAAACTTATGGGATGGGTCTAGATGATTAATGTCTCTTCTAATTCTTAAAGTCTCTGATTCTATAATTTTATATAAGGTTAAATGACAGGTTAAAAATTAATATGATACATATAAATATAATATAAATTAACTATAAATAAATAAGATGAATATATCAGTGCTAAATATAAATAATAATAAAGATAAAGTTATCAATACAAGACAATATAAGATGTTGTGAAGTAGTACATAATTCAGTAACAGCTAAATGTCAGCAAATTCTGTCAATTCATATGTGGAAAAATATTTCTGTGGATTACAGGAATCCAGGAAATTTTCATGGAGAAGATATGATTTGCAAAATAGGTCACTTTTGGATAGAACAAGGGAAAGATGGCATTGTAGATACAGGAACTGGCTTAAGCAAAGATAGGGAGACAGGAAGACAATATTACTACAGAACAGTGGAATAATATCACATTTCGTAATGTTTGTAAGAGGCATTTTGAAAAATAGATGCTATACAAATATATGCTGCTGCTGTTACTGTAGCAAACCTAGGACTAGAAAAAAACTGGTCTTCCAGTTCCTATTACAACCTGTTTTCATAAATTATGTTTTCTGATATGTTCGATTTTTTTCATGTGTACAGGGCAGAGACTTTAGCTGTTGAAATCAAAGAATTTCAAGGACAACTAGCTGACTACAATATGGTAATTGTCCTTTTCCAAGATAATTCTTATTGTGTGATTTAAATGCCTTTTAAATATGTTATTTAAATATATTATTCTGTCTTTTAATCCAAAGATGGTTTTATCATTAAATATTTTCCTAATAAGAGAGACAATTGTTTGTAGATGGATGAAAATTGATAGTAATTTTGATCAGTTGAATTTGTGAAGTGTTAAAATTGTCTACACTATATTTTCTTATCAACAGACAGCAATTCAAGTAAGATCTAATAGAGGAAAGGAAGTTAGCACTTTCCACACTGTAAACAGGTAGAAACTTAGCTTCTTCCAATGAGGTAAAAAGAAATGAGAGTCTGGGTAAAGTGAAAAATTTCATTGGATATTCTGGATTTCACTGGATATCCAAATTAACATATTCATATTATGAGGTTCAACTTAGCTCTTTATCAGAAACCAAATCCATAACAGCCCCTAAGGAAACCAACAGAAAAATTATGTGAATTTCTTCCTACTGAGAAAGGGAAATAGAAGTACAGATGTAATAGATATCATGTAGCTATAGAACATCATGAAAATTGAAGGTAATAAAATGAATAGTTCTCCAAGCCTACTTTGGTGTACATGCTAATTTTTATATACATAATATATGCATACAAGATACAAATATAAAACTAATCTGTTTGTAGTGACCTTAATTGCTTAATTTCTACAGGGAAAAAATCTGTATTAAAACAAATGTTTAAAAAGATATGGAATCTTTTGGTTCTTCCAGTGATACAGATCAGAACTAACTAGCCCATCCTATGTAATTCTCATCCATGTTTTCCTATAAATAGAGAGGAAACAATTTTTGCCAAATGGTAAATTGATTTTGAAGTAGAAATTTTTTATTGTTAGGTATCTAAGTGTTTACAGGATACAGTAGGTACATTATCTATTAAAATGGCACTTACCATATTGATCTGAAATAGGCCACATAAATCTGGTTAAGTTAAATCAAATAGTACTTGAGTTTTGTAAAACCTAAGAGCAAATTATAATTAGTGTTATTTCTGAGTGTGTACTACATGTATTTTTCTTTTCACTGAGATCAGCTTTCTGGGTAAGGTCTTATTTTTGAAGGTGACCTATATTTAGACCAGTACAATAATTTTACCAATTTTCAAGTCACCTCTTAGATAGTACTTGTATGGTTTTATTTTAAAAATCTAATGAATGTTAACTGTTAAATTTTGCTTTTTATTTATTAAGACCAATTAAGCAGAAATCATAGTGCTTAATGTATTTTCTAGACAGAACATATTAAAATAAGCTACTCTTCATGTATTTATTTATTTCATGTTACACATTTCACCTTTCTGTAGTAGTCTTCCTACCCAGTCTTTCTTTTGTCACTTTGCCTATTGGGACTTTCTTTAATTTTAGACAACTTGAGAGACACTCTTTGGACTTTTGTGCAATTACATGTTAGCATCCCACATTTAATAAACTCCCAAAAGGTTTTTACCATTCTCATCTCTGCACAGGGATTGAACTCTCTTTACTAAGAAGTGGAAGCTCCTGGACAGAGCTTTTAGGAGAGACCAGTTTCTACTGCTCACTTCTTCAACTTAAATAACATAGCCAGTTATCCCATTAGCCAAATACCCACTTGCTCTCTAAGATAGTCTAATGCTGTCTCTTTTGCAGAAGATGCTTAAAATTATTTAATGATCATCTTTCATAAAATAAGCCTCTAAGCAAATGACTGTTTATAAGACTGATTAATTGCAATATTGGTTAACTACCGAGATGAATGACCCTTAATGATTAATGGCATTATGATGTCTTTTTTAGTTAGTAGATAAACTCAACACCAATACAGAAATGGAAGAAGTAATGAATGATTACAACATGGTAAGATTCATAGTTTTTTACTAAAAGCTCTGTGAACTTTATGAAGTGATTTAGTTGACCCCTATTTTATAGATTCAGATATGCTTCAGGTCAAATAATTTCCCACAAAATGTAATGTCTATACAATGAAAGTCTGATATAATTCATCTTTTAAGTTGAATATTAATCATGTTTCCTAATAACATTTCAGGAGATTTCCACTGTCTTTAAATTGTGTACTCTCTATTATCTGGACCTTTTAAAAGTGAAGGAACCTTGATATTTCATCCTATGAAGTCATATCTGAATCCATCCCACATCCTGCTACATTATTTGGGATATACTTTATCATGTCTCCTTTTTCTTATTTCTAGTAGTATTTTAACATAAATTGAGCTAAAAGGTTAATGGAAATATTCATCCTTGTGGGTGGATAGGTGTAGGGACTAGACCTGTGATTTCATTGGTCTAAGGAACTTATGGGTGAGGAACCTGCTTCTACCATTTCAGGGGAATACTTGTTCTGTAACTTATAGTCTTAGAGAGTTGGCTAGAGCACAAAGAGTAAGAAACTTGTCTAGGGTCACACAGCTAGTATGTGTTAGAAGTAAGTCTAGAACTCAGATCTTCTTGGCTCCAAGGTCAGCTCTCTATCAGTTATACTATGTTTCCTCTCTTCTTTATATAGCATTTATAAAACACAGAAAATTGACATATATAGAATGGGATAGCTAGTTGGAAATAATTCAGGTTGTTTTATATATGAGATAGAAGTAAAATTAAAGTATGAATTAGTTCTATTTTGATACCTCATCATGGTACAGTGGTGGTATCTTGAGATGGTTAAACTGGGCACCAGCTCTGACAGGTTCAAACAAGCCAGAAAATCTTTTGGAAGGGGCTGGTGATTGATTGTGTATGTATTATCCAAACTCTGGCCTAAGAGATGCTTATCACTAGGCTACGTCAGGGTAGTGAATTTTTCAGCCAAAGTCTTGCTTCAGGATCTTTTATTAGGTAATATTACAGGGATTCTGCTCTTTGCATTGATGTAGGGATAAACTATATCTCCCAAATCGCACATCCTTGAAATTTTGAAATAGGTATTACAGTTTGGGTTCTTCATAGATTTTGGTTTACTTAAATTCATTTTGAGTTCTTTTAAAAACACTAAGGATTCAGCTAGAGTATTTCTGAAGTTATAATAAATAGAACACCATTCATGAAAGCCTATAGCTTTGATAGCGAATCAAAAAAATAACTTATTGCAAAATTATTTGTGGCAAACTTGAAATTTTGGTTGTATCTTTAAAGGCAAAGTAAAGTGATTATAAAGATCACTATCTTGAGGGAAATGTTGAGATTTTTTAAACCTGAATTTAAAAAATCAATCAATGGCTTTTACCGAACTCCTTATTGTACACTTGATCAGCTCTATGTGGGTTAAATTCAGTGGGCCTCTCAAAAAACATATTATTTATTTATTTAATGAAGAATTTGGTAGGAAAACATTAAGTCTGTGAAAAAAATCTTTAATCTCTAAAAAGTTATTGCCAATATAATGTGTTTAATCTTGCAAGGATGTTAGTTAACTTTTAAATGCAACCTTATTTTCAACTTTGTTAAGTTTTATGCATTGAGCAGAGGTCTACATTAACAGTTTATCATTTAGTTCATTACTAACATGCATCATCATTTAAAGAAAAATAGTATGTCTTTAATGTTATTTTCTATCACTAACATCTCTGGTTAATTATCTACACAGCTAAAAGCTCAAAATGATCGAGAAACCCAGAGTATGGATATAATATTTACAGAAAGACAAGCGTAAGTACATGGTTACCTGAGAAAAATAACTGCTTCATAAGAGAGTTTTATGGGGTGACTGAAGGTCACATTTTGGGGTGATAGACAAAATGGTGTTGTGTGTCATGGAAAGAACAAGGAAATAGGAATAAGAAGACCTGCGTTCTAGTCTAAGCTCTGTCACCTGTTCGCCACTTGACTTCAGGTTAGTTGTTTATCCTTCATGGTCCTCATTTTCTTAATCTATAAAATGATGGTGTTTGACTAGAACACAAAATCTTAGAGTTGGAAGTGAACACAAAAGTTGTCTAATACAAGCCATCACCTTCTACAATATCCCAAGCCAATGATTATCCAGCATCCATTTGAAGACTTCAGGGGATGGATTATCCCACTGCCTACCTATGCAACGCCTTCTACTTTTGGACTTCCTAAATTGTTAGAAAGTTTTTCCTTAATCAGCCTTTCTGTAGTTCATTCCTTTTGCTTGTAAGTCTGTCCTCTGAGGCTAAGCAAAAGAAGTCTAAACCCTATTACATATGACAACCCTTCAAATATTTGAAAATGACTTATCACATTTCCCTCTAAGACTTCTTTTCTCCATGCTAAACATTCCCAATTCCTTCATATGGCATGGTCTTTAGTCTCATCACCATCATCACCATTCTTGTCCCCTTTCTCAGTATATGCTACAGGTACTGTACATAGTAGATACATTTTTTGTACCAGACCTATGTTTTCTATGATTTAAGGAATTCCTTGTGAAACTGGAATCTGCTGTGACATTTATAGTCTTAGAGGGTTGCCTGTTTGCCAAAGTTAAATGATGTACCTAAAGCCACACAGATAGTATATGTTGGAGGAAAGATTTTTACCTATGTCATCCTGACTTTAAGGACATTCTATATCCACTCTGTTATGCTGCCTTTCTAGGTGATTAATATAAATAAGTAAAAGATGTTGACATTAACATGACCCTTAATAACTAGAATTTGTAGAAAACTCAGAGATGAACATACTGTTTGTGTGTGTGTACTATCCTAAAATAACAAATATGTCCTCATCTCATCACAGCATCTGTAATTCTTGTGAAGGCAAGTTATCTAACCTTCAAAAATACTTAATTCAGTACCCTTTACCTTCTGTGCACTCAATACATACTTGATAATTATGATCGTGATGATAAATAGTAACAGTGATAAACTAAAAGAGTAAATACTATAAAATATATTTTTAATATTCAAATATTGAATTCAGTAAAATCAGATAAGTACTTGCAGAAATATTTTATTATACAAAATTCGATTTTAAAAGAATAGTTTCTGATCTCTTATAAACATATTCCAATTTCTACTATTCCACTTTTAATTTATTCATTCATTCATTCAGCAAATTTTTATTGACTGTAAAAGATGCAAAGTTATATAAGACACAGTCTTAGCCCTTTTAAAGACTTGCAGAGTTTAGAAAATGACAGGAATGATTCAATCTTATTTACATAACCTTTTAATCCATAGTTATTTTATTCATAGGCATTATTTATAATTAACATATTTGTATATTCTATAAACTAACTTTGTAATTACCAGTGAATTAGCTTCAGAATGTGATATATTTCAAGTCTAGTTGACATTTAATTAAGAAAAAATAATGCTTACAATCTTAGTAGTATGTTCTAAAATGCTACTAGAAGAGTTTTAAAGTATAAAATATGTTTTTAAAAAGAAATTCTATATAAATATCTCTCCCATGATTTTTTTTTACAACATAAACCTCAAACTAAAAACAAGGAATTTTGTGAAGTTGATTTCAAGAATTAGAAAAACATCTAAGTTAATTGTTAACTTCCACAAATGTGTAGAGAACAATTTTATCTTTAAATGTTCACATATAAAGGGAACAGGACATACTATACTAATCTAAGAAGCAGAGAAATATGCAAGTTTTAAGATTGACTTTTTGCCTTTCCAGTCACTACTGTGTTAAAATCACTGTATGTTCTGGTTAGCTTGACCTTGACCATTATTGTTACCATACGAAACCATATAAGGGAATGACAGTATCTAGACTTCATTCTACCTTTATAGCAATACCAGCAACTTTTCCTCTGTACTAATCAATAAACAACCGTATATTAAGCCTTCACTCTGTGCTGGTCATCATGCTAAGCATTGGTAATACAGAGAAAGGTAAAATCACATTCCTCCTTCAAATGGTTTGTGTTCTAAAGGAAGGATAAATAGATAATAGATAAATCGATACCTCCATAAAAATACATACTTTGTAGATGGGAAGTAACTTTAAAGAGGAAGGCTCTAATAGTTGGTGGACTAATGGGATGTTTAAACTGAGTCCTTAAGGAAGCCAGCTTCAAGGATCTTTTTGTTCTACCTGATGGCTCAGTATGGCTCTCTCTCTAGATGTCAATTAAAATTATAGCTACATAGCTGTGCTGTTGATTTAGTATTAGTTTAAAAAAATCCATTTAAAAAAAAAATTTGGAATTTATGACTTTTAAAACTTTAAAGATATTAGTTAGTCAAATAATATTTATTTAACAACCACAAAGTATTATAGATAGGACCATCAGCATATTGGAGAGCTTGATCCCCTATCCTTTAATAATTATGTTTTGTTTCATTAACATTGCTAAGTTATAGATAAAATATTAAATTATTATAATTATGTAATTACATTGCACAGCAGATTGTTAAATAGTTGAAAAATATGTTCTTATCCTCTGAATGTTTGTTAATTTTAGCAATATAGTATAAGCAATTTGATCTTACAAAACGTATCACATATGACCTCCCTCAACATAAATTTATGTTTTATTATAAACATTCTTAAAATTAGACAGATATGTAAATGTCATTATAAATGATACATGTCTCTTATCCTCTTACCCTATTATCACTGAATGTGTGCACCCATCTCTGATAACTTTTTTTTCTTGGTAGAGATTAGGGTTGCATTTAAAATTTTAAGTTTTGAAATTACTTTTCTGCAGATTATTATGTGAAATTAAATCATTCTTATTGGCACAATGAAATCTATACTTCATAGTATTATCTTTCATTTTTTCATAGGTAGAAGGTGTAAAGAATTATAGTATATTTTACTATATGTCTCTGTTGTAGCTATCTACAACAATTACCTTTTTTTATAATTGAAAATAGTTGAATAGAAGGTGGTGAAGAATAGAAATAAATATGTGTATTTGTGTGTGTTTATGTGTGTGTGCATATATATTTCACTTTAGTTCCCAGACAGCATGTCAGTGCGGTTATGACTGTTCCACATTACTAAAATCAGTGGCCATTTATTTTGTGATTGCACCAGTATAAGGTGCAGTTAAAGCACTGCTTTAAATTATCACCAGAATTAGAGAAATTCCACTGAACCAGTGGAAAGCAATCAGTTGTACCTTCTAAGTGATAAGTTAAGTTCATGAACATAATTATAATTAATTTCAGTTACCGTCATTTTCAAGTATCAGCTCTTCTGTTCATGGTATAGTGGAAACAGTAATGAATTTGGAATGAAAGGACCTGTGTTAAAACCTCAGCTCTGCAACCTGCGTGACATTATGCAAGTCCCTTAAGTTCTCTGGGCCCCATTTTCCTCGTTAGTAAAATGAGATGGTTATATAGATGACCTCTAAAGTTTCATCCAGCTCCAATCCTAGGATCTGATATAAATGTTAGAGAATACTAGGGCATTAGTTAGTACGTATTAGTGAGTCAGGATCCAGTGTTCGAATAATTGACAAGTTATAAGTTTCAGATCCTCATATTACTACTACTATGCTTTGCCAATTATCTATTACTGGGTTTGTCCACTTCTTAAAATTTTTCTTTTAACCATTTCATAATGGTCATTAAGTGTGTGTGTGTGTGTGTGTGTGTATAGTAACAAATACAGGAAGTTTTAGTTGTGGTTGGTATTTGATACACAACAAAATCTATGCCTTATTAAATTAAAAATATGTCAGTCCATTTACAAAGAATCAAATTTTGAACAAAATTAATTTTCTTCACGCATTTCTTGAGCATCTATATATTTGTCTTCAATAAACCCATCTTCATCTACCACAAATGTACTTAATTGATCAAATATCACTATATTTTCTTCTGGGTTTGTATCTGGTGTTTGTGGAAGAGAATTAGAGTAAACAGTAAAATCTTCTTCATATGTATCACCCTCTTGCTCATGCAAGCGATGATGATTGTAGCTAAACAAAAAGTTATACCATGTTGGGCATCTCATAGCAATAAAAATCAGTAGTGAAGTTACCAGGACCACAGCTACAACACCGACAAGAAGGGCCCAGCTTTTACCAAGAGGCTCAGATTCTTAAAGAGAAAGAGAAAAAGACTCTTGTCAAATTGAGAAAAATGAGATAAAATAATTCATTACCTCTAAATTATTTATTGATTTATTAGTGTTAAAGACTAAGATGCCACCCACCTTTCAATTACTTAATCTGTTATAAGAAACTTTTTGAAAACATGACACTTGATAGATAACATGTACTAATTTCAAAATAATGAAGATTACCATACCGTAGACATCCTTGCAGCTTTTTTTCTCCTGTTGATCATACCATTCTTATTCACTTTAGGAATCAGAATGGTGAAAATTGATGGGTCTTTTATACTTGTGTATTTATTAACCTGAACTTTTGGGTAAATAGCAATAGTGTTAATTAAAATTTAAATAGATTTTTCCATATTATACAAAATTGCAATTTTATAAGATATATTAATTTTCCAGAATTTGATTTTTCATAGAGAAGTATCTCCTACCAAAAAAAAAATTAAAAAACCTGTGGCACAGAAATAAAAAGGATGAATTGAAAATCAAATGACAAATGTTATTGGATAGAAAATTAAGTCATCAGTGGGTCAAAAAAAGTGTCAGGGAAAAGAGGAATGCAGGAATGCATGAAGACCATGTCTTATTTGTATCTGTATCTCCTAGGACCTGTCATCATGCCCTGCCCATAGTTAGTGCTTACT